GCCTGCCTGCCTGCCGCGGCTCCCGCGAGGAGCGATGAAAGAGCCGGAGGCTTCTCGGTGGAGCAAAAGGGGCGGCCGGGCAGGAGAGGGGCTCCTCAGTTGCGCGTGGAGGAAAGAAAGGAGCCTTTTCTCCTCCTCCTCCTCGAATGCCGCCGCCGCCGCCGCCCAGAGGCACTGAGATTCAGGCGAGAGGAAAGGAGACGCTCCTCTTCTCAAGGGCCGAGTGGGGAACTCGCTGCCGGGGGACGTAGTGACGGCCCTGAGCCGTTGGTGGTGGTCAGTCGCGCAGTCAAGTCCGAGTCTTCCGGACCCCATGGACCACATCATGCCAGGCCCTGCAGTGTCCTCCGGGGTTTGCTCCATTTCATGTTCGCTGCATCTAATAACCCTGTCTAACCATCTCATCCTTTGCCCTCCCCTTCTTCTTTTTCCTTCAGTCTTTCACAGCATCAGAGTCTTCTCCAGTGAGTGCTGCCTTCTCCTTTGGTGGCCAAAGTATTTCAGCTTCAGTATCTGGCCTTCCAGGGAACAGTCAGGGTTGATTTCTTTTAGGATTGACTGATTTAATCTTCTTGCAGTCCAAGGGACTCTCAAGAGTCTTCTCCAGCACCATAGTTCAAAAGCATCTATTCTTCAGCACTCCACCTTCCTTATGGTCCAACTCTCATAGCCATACATTACTACTGGGAATACCATTGCTTTGACTATGCAGACTTTTGTTGGCAGGGTGATGTCTCTGCTTTTTATTATGCTGTTTGCCATAGCTTTCTTCCAAAGGAGCAGGCATCTTTTAATTTCTTGGCTGCAGTCACCATCTGCAGTGATCTTAGATCCCAACAACATGAATTCTGTCTTCCTCTTCTATTTGCCAAGGAGTGATGAGGCCAGATTCCATGATCTTAGTTTTTTTTAATGTTGAGTTTCAAGCCAACTTTTGTGCTCTCCTCTTTCACCCCTTAGCAAGAGACTCTTTAGGTAGTCTTCACTTTCTGCCATTAGAATGGTATCATCTGCATATCTGAGGTTGTTGATGTTTTTCCCGGCAATCTTAATTCCGTTTTGTGATTAATCCAGGCTGGCATTTCGCATGATGCACTCTGTACATAAATTAAATAAGGAAGGTGACGATATATGTCCTTGTCGCACTCCTTTTCTTATGCTAAACCAATCCGTTGTTCCATATCCAGTTCTAACTGTTGCTTCTTGACCTTTATACAGGTCTCTCAGGAGACGTGAGGTGGTCTGGTACTCCCATCTCTTTAAGGACCTGCCATAGTTTGTTGTGATCCACACAGTCAAAAGCTTTAGCATAGTCAATGAAGCAGAAGTAGATGTTTTTCTGGTACTCTCTTGCTTTCTCCATAATCCAGCGAATGTTGGCAATTTGATCTCTAGTTCCTCTACCTCTTCGAAACCCAGCTTGTACTTCTGGCAGTTCTCTATCCACGTACTGTTGAAGCCTAGCTTGTAGGATCTTGAGCATGACCTTGCTAGCATGTGATATGAGTGCAATTGTGCGATAGTTTGAACATTCCTTGGCATTGCCCTTCTTTGGGATTGGAATGTATACTGACCTTTTCCAATCCTGAGGCCACTGTTGCGTTTTCCAAATTTGCTGGCAAATGGAGTGCAGAACTTTAACAGCATCCTCTTCTAAGACTTTGAATAGCTCAGCTGGAATACCATCACCTCCACTAGCTTTGTTGTTAGCAATGCTTTCTAAGGCCCATTTAACTTCACATTCCAGGATGTCTGGCTCGAGGTCAGTGATTATACCGTCGTGGTTGTCAAGGACATCGAGGTCTTTCTTGTATAGTTCTTCTGTGTATTCTTGCCATCTTTTCCTAATCTCTTCTGCTTCTGTTAGGTCCCTACCGTTTTTGTCCTTTATCATGGCCAGCTTTGCATGGAACGCTCCCTTGATTTCTCCAATTTTCTTGAAGAGATCTCTAGTCCTTCCCATTCTATTGTTTTCTTCTATTACTTTGCACTGTTCATTCAGGAAGGCCTCCTTATCTCTCCTTGCTGTTCTCTGGAAATCTGCGTTCAGTTGGGTAAATCTTTCCTTTTCGCCTTTGCCTTTCGCTTTCCTTCTTTCCTCTGCTATTTGTAAAGCCTCATCAGAAAGCCACTTTGCTTTCTTACATTTCTTTTTCTTTGGGATGGTGGTGATTGCTGCCTCCTGTACAATGTCACGAACCTCCGTCCATAGTTCTTCAGGCACTCTATCTATCAAATCCAGACCCTTGAATCTATTCTTCACCTCTACTGTATATTCATCAGGGATGTGATCTAGGTCAAACCTGAATGGCCTCATGGTTTTCCCGATTTTCTTCAGTTTAAGTCTGAATTTTGCAATGAGTAGCTCATGATCATCCATTCATTCAGTCCACCTAACCTTAGTGTGCCCCATTAGCCCTCTTCCCCCCCCCCAAACCTACAGTTACATTATCTACTAAAAGCCAGCTAGCAGAGACTGGCATTCAAGGTCATTGTGCGTTCTTCCCAGCGTTGGGAAGTCCACTTGGAAAGCAGTTGTAAATTAGCACGGCAAAGCAGACACTCACACAGTCTGCCCCCCCCCATTCCCCAAAATGAAAGAACAAAGCATCAAAGGCAGTGAAAACAGAGCATGTGAAATCCATGGCAAACAAGGACCTGAGTTTGACATCAGTCTGATTTCGGTGTTGCCCATCTGGTGATGTCCATGTGTAGAGTCGCCTCTTAGGTTGTTGGAAGAGGGTGTTCGCTATGACCAGCGTGTTCTCTTGACAAAACTCTGGTAGCCTTTGCCCAGCTTCATTTTGTTCTCCAAGGCAAACCTGTCCATTATTCTGGTTACCATTTGACTTCCTACTTTAGCATTCCATTCCCATATGATGATAAGGACATCTTTTTTTGGTGTTCTAGGAGGCATTGTAGGTCTTCATAGAACCGGTCCATTTCAGCCTCCTCTGCATCAGTGGTTGGGGCATAGACTTGGATTACTGTGATGTTGAATGGTTTGCCTTGGATTCATACCTGAGCCTGTACAAGGCCCAAAAGAGCAATGGGGAGGGGAGGCCAGAGTAGGTCATTGCACTGGCCCTACACGTTTCACGCCCACTCAGTTGGGGGGGTCTCTTAGGAAAAATTATTTACCATTAAAAAACAAAACAGATTTACTCAGCATGTGAAAAGTGCATGAGTATACCCAGAACCACAAAATCCATAAGTTTGCTTCAGATATTATACAGCTGCTCTAAAGGAGTATTACACAAGCAATACACGAATGGAAACATAGATCTTAAAACGAAATTGATATAGATCACTCTAAAACTTCTATGTCAGAAAAATGTAGCCTGTAAAATTGTATAACCTAAGAGTTTGTTTATATGTCTGTTTCCACCCATATGTTCCTTTACTACACCTGTATAATACCTAAAAGGTGCACACGG